AGGTCTCTCTTTAGAACAGTTAAGGCTGGCATCCACCATGGGACCGGTCATGCTTTCCGGTGCTTCAGGGCAGCGTCTCGAATGATATTGGTGATCCTAGATACCTTGTAATCCAGTTCATTAGCTACGTCCACCTCCATCACATCCCATTCTTCATCTACAATTAATACAATCCTTCCAGACAGCACCTGAAGACACTCCAGTCACTTATTTTCGTAACAAAACCTTTATCAATGCCGTGGGAACATCCTGGCTTATCTACCAGGTCGATTGCTATCGCAATGTGGTCGGAGCTCGTTTCAGACCTGAGAGTCCAATCTGTGATGTACCTCGTAAGCACAGGCGTGGCGATCGTGACATCAATCCAACTCTGCCCCATGACTCCAGAAAAGGTAGGGGTAGCAGAGGATTCATTAATCACGACAAGGTGATTTCTTGCTATGAAATCTCCCATTTTCGCGCCTCGCCTATCAGTAATATTGGACCCCAGACCGTGTTCCAGGAGTTGGAATCTGAGCAAACGATCACATTCCTCATCTCTCTAATGATCGTTTCCATAGCGGATATGCTTTCATCAATATCATCACTGACAGGCAGGTATGCCAACACAAGTGTGAAGGTAATCTTACCCCACCTAATATAGCATGATGCATAATCCGCCATGATGTGCTGTCTCAGATCCATCACGTCGAGGTTAGGATTATTGATCACTATTGCAGCCCTGGGCCTCCTCTCTCCACTACTCAGGGCTATAACAATCGACGTGAGGCCAAACCCAGTGACCTTGTTCCCACGGCAAGTCGGTTCCTGGACCGCCATTATGTCATAGCGTTTAGAAAGGGCGCGAAGCTCATCAGCCACAACTCGTCGGCGGCCCATGTTTAGCTGGAGGATAGTGATTTTAGTCATAAAACGTTCTTCTCACCACTCCTTGAGACTTCTTTATATACACCGGACAGTCCCGACTTCCTTTCTGATGCTTAGCTTTGTTACTGGGGTTACCTTCCCTCACGCATTTATGCAGATCGGGGATTTTTTATTTATTTTTCCAGGACAATCCTTAGCTATGTGGCCAGATGCAGAGCACCACTTGCAAATGATACCATTAGCCTCGCATGTGGCCCTAGTATGCCCATATCCTTGGCATCGAAGGCATGGAGAAACATCAGGGTAATCAGTGAATTTCAATACCCACCAACCCCCAGCTATTATTTCCTCCTTCAGAAGATTATACCTAACTACTGGGTTCACTTCAATCACCCAATTATTTGTGATCTGGTTTTTGGCCATTGTGGAAAACAGTGGCTTAATATGGCCCGATTTGTTCTCAGGTTTAGGGACTGCTTTCTCAGCTAACATCTCCCACATTACCCTTTCCAGATTTTCAGCTGTCCATGATCGTGGAACACCTTTAAGTTCCAACTTAGGTTTCCTCTTCTGAGCTAGTCTTGCCTCCATCCCAGCTTCTTTAAGTTTCTGCCAATCAAGTAAAATTAAAACGGAACCAGCTTTGGTTGCTCGAACAATTCTGGCATTTATCCCAAGATCTGTTGGAGAAGGCAAATCATTGACTCGCTAACTATGGTCAGGTAAGTTGGTTTTGGAGCATCCGGTGCTTTTAATAGCAGAGTTTTAACGACATCTGCCATAGTTGTCTTCTTTTTAGTTGATGCCTCAGATGAAGTTTTTAGCTGTACATTCTGTTTAATACCACACTCCTTTGGCACAACAGTAGACTTTTTCTTCTTTCGCTTTCTTTTAACTATGGAGAAGGTTTCGGTATCTGTGATGCCTTCCTGGGTGTCGGCCAATGATTCCTCTCTAGCTACTGTTAGTTCCCGAGATGGACCTAGTGCTACCGGTAGGCCTTGTGGTGTCGTAGTGGCTGCCTTAAGCCCTTCTAGGACCATTGGTACTGATTTTTCAACTATAGATTGTTTATCATTAATTGTCTCCATGATATCAATCAATTGTTGCACTTTACTATTAATGTACTTTTGAACTTTAAGATTTACATTTCTGTCTGTGGTACTCATGTAAACTCTAATGTTCTCTTGAATTCGACGTCGATCGTGTAAGAGAGCATCTTCTATTCTAGCCTTTCCTGACTCTTCACGGGAATCAGGGGATCCCTTTCTTTGCCGTTTAGCGGTAGACCTTGGATGCTTTAAGATCTGTTCTCCTACCACTCCTTCCTCCATTGCTGTTTCGACGCTGTTAGACATGTCACAGCAATATTATTTGCACAAAATTTGTAACTAAATAAGTTATAATGATGGTTAAGTAATAAAAATAAGTGTTTATAAAACTTAAACTAAAGTCGTTATTGACTATTAAAGTTTCCTTTGATTAACAGAATTGCACTTAATGTTCAAAGGTGTTCTTACCTTAGAATGCACCAGATCCTGCACTGTTAGCTGGCCCCTAAAAGTTTATTTCGCTTGCAATAGATAATCAAAGTTAAGCAACGTCGAGCGTGGTTAGTACTTGGATGGGTGACCATCCACCAGAGAAAGCCATGCTGCTCGAGTCTCCCCCCCCCGGGTATGTGAGGCCCGTCAGCCTACTGGAGGCAGCTCGCACCGACCGGGAGTAGGACTGATGACCCTACCCCGTGTACTTAATCTGGAATCAATCGGGATGTGGTTTACCAGGATGTTAATAGCCCCCCTGAGGTTCCATCCAGGGTCCATGGACAGTCTGTTTCGGAGAAAGAAATATAGGTCCTCGTGCGCCTACTGACTCCGAGCAGCCATCCATAATCCGTGGATCTATATCGATTTGTCACTGTCCTTGAACCCGAGAAAGTCGGTGGGAAGGACATTGCCAGATTGGCCCCAAAGGAATCGGCTATGGAGCTACGGGTGGCCTGCCGCTGTACCATGGAGACCAGTGAGGTTGGATGACCCCCTCTAGTCAATCTGAGCTCCCGTTATTACCTCAAACATTACCTCAATCTTAAATTAATGTACTCCCTTGTCCTGGTTAGGCGTTTGTCAAATTTTGTCAGTGCTTATGAAAATAACTTAAAAGAAAGTCATTGAGCTCAGAAAAAGTAAGAACGAAAAATGAAAAGCCTTAAGCTCTGGAATTTCAATTTCAAGATTTGGAAATTTCATCATAGTAGTGTTTCACAAACGCAGAAATATTCTTATAAATGTAATGACCATTAATCATTACTAACTGTATTGAAGTAACATAAATACTTGTAAGGATAGGCTGGTAAAAAAAAAAATATTGTCATTAAATTGTATGAACAGTTAGATAAGGAACGTGATGGGGCAGGATCGTCTAGTTAACTAGACCTTTATCGGATAGGCAGAAATGAGGAAAAAAAAATAGGTTTTTATAGTGTTTTTCTAAATTGCCTCACATCTAAATGTTTTATTTAATATTAGTATGTCAGAGCAAAAACTCAAAATTAAATATTTGATTATAATTGGATAAATTCAATTACAAAGCCTTGAGTCTCCAAAATGCAAATAAAACAAACTAACCCATTCTGGACTACACTCGGTGCTGTGCACACTCGTGAGCCTGCTCGGCCACCTTACTCCAAATGGAGAGTTGCTGTCCGCAGGGCTCTATCCGTAAACTGCTTTGTGGAAATTGGCCTTTGACGAGCTGGCGGGGATGCTAGAAGAAGAGCGATTTTCCGCAAAAGCTTACGTAGCTGTTATTTAGCAGGGTCAGATTAAGATATAATGCTGAGCGATGCACCAACCTGGTAGGAGAATGGTGAGAGAGAAACAAGTTAAGAACGGCAGGTTGCAAGATTCAGGCTTTCTTCTTGAGAGGCAGGACTGATAGGGTTCACCCTTTAACTGTAGACATACAAGGATCAAGTGTTTGTCCGAGTGAGGTGGACCTATCTTGGAATTAGGATCAGAAAAAAATTCAAAGCGACGCCTCACTTGGATTATTTAATATGGAAGGAAACCACAGCTCTTAATGTTTTCAAGACCTTATACATCAAGCAGCAATGGCTATTTACAAAGGAGTGGTATAGATACACGTCCGTTGTCTGGAACTAGAGTCTCCCACCGACAGAAGAGCATGTTGGCGACGATCAAGCGAATTGAACGGTTTCGGGTAACCATGTCATACATGACGTTGTCTCATGAAGCACGCTCTTAGGAATTATTTCTTTAGAGCTCCTCCTGCGGGAAGACCTCCTCCGGCAAAATACTAAAAAAAACGATAATTGGGATCTTGTCTAGAAAAGACGGTTCCTCTCCGTCTAAACGATATGATATTGTATAACAAACCATATGGTATAGCATCGAGACCTCATAACCAATAGTGGCGAACCAGAAACCGCTGAGCACATCTTTGTATCTTGCATCATTTATGAAGCACTGGGATCTCCATTCTGGCGGAGTTGTAGGTCCAACGAACTTCTTCTTGGATAGAAGAGAAGCGACCATATCAGGACGACCGCCGAACCGAAAAGAAGAAAAAGCCGGTGGCCAAACTGAAGTATATATTAAAACAGGCTATGTGCACAGCTATCCATAATAATGTTATGAGATTCATTTGCAGCAACGTTTTATTATGCAGGCTAGTGTGTTGCAAAGAGTGGAAAAAAAAAAAAAGTCAACAACAAATTATATTATTTTTAATACTTACTACTTATTATTTATTATTTCTAATTATTGCTACTTATTTTCCAGCAATCTAAATTTTTTTTATGATCTTTAATATTTATGGTGGTGTTATTAATTTCAAGTCGATCTAAAACCAGAACATTTACTTTTGTTTCCTCTCAGTATATTTATGATTCAGAACAATACTTCCTGCTAATTAAATTTAACAATATTTTTTAAAAGTTTATTCAATCCAGATAATTAAAAATAAGCCTAGTCTTATTTAGCATAGTGTTATTTGATGCCTAGGCTATTGATGGTCTATTACTATAGGTAATAATTAAAATTTTCATTTCACCAATCAAAATGTAAAATTCGTATAAAATTTATTAAACTGTAATTTAAACTTTATAGGACAGGAAAGGTAAAAGGCATTGAAAGGTTTCTTGGAGCAGTGGATAATTTGGAGGCATCTTTGATGGAAGCTACATCAGGAGTTGCAAAATACGAACATCAGCATCGATCTATCGTTTGGAGAATGCCTCGCTTGCCAAAAGAGGGACAAGGTAACACTGATAATCGAAATGAAAGTAAAATGTATACAATCTCATATTTTAATATAGAAATAATAACGTGGCTCGGCTTTACATGAATCCATTATGCGTTACTTTTATGTACCAAAAACCATTCAACCGTTTCAACACCGAGGCCATATTGTTGATTTTTTTAAGCAGAATATCCATTAAATGATTCCTGCACTTTATTTATCCCTATACTTTTATTTAATTTAAACTTTTTAGGCTCCGATAAAAATCGAAATGAAAATCCTCTTTGTATAGAGTTTTTTTTTCCAACCCAATCTCTCAAAAACAGGAAAAACATGAAATCAATATTAAATTCGAACCACTACTCAGATGATGGAACGATACTGAGGTTTATCTTAATTTTTTCTACCTTGTTGGGTACACAGTGAATTTTCGAAGGCGCCTTAACATGCTCGACCACCCCAGAGGGAATATGGATGGAGGGAAGAATCTGAAATTTCCTAACAACTTCAACAGTTGCAACAAAATTCCTAATTACATTAATTTAAAAAATTACAATTCAACTTGTTTCTTATCTGTTGTGTATGATAACATTTTATTATAATATTTTTTTGTCCATTTTATTGTGAAAATCTCATGGTTTTAAAGTGACTCCTTGAGTAAAATATTTTACCAAGATTTTCACAGTTTGAAGTAGGCTCTAGTAATAAACTGATTACTGAGCTCCTCCTTCATGTATGACTTTCTATCTCTCCTTCTCCTTTCATCCATTCAACATTGTTATAGTTTTAAACTAAATCAATGATTAGTAAATTCCGGCGCCCATGATCACATTCGAAAAATCATCTAAACAAACTGAAATTGAAAATTAGAAAAATCATAGTTATAAACTGTTCCAAATATGTATTCATAAATCTATAAACTGTAGCAAAGATATATTTTATTAAAATATAATCCAATAAAGGTCTAACACATCGACAGTTAATATCACACATGTTGGAACAATATAGCTAAGGATTGAAATTATGTTCTTATGAACAATAGCTAATTCAAGTATACACTTGAATTTTAAATAAAAATCAAATACATATACAAATAAACCAATAAATGTAAAAAAAAACATAGGGATGTCAGAATATGGTCAATGCTTTAACATGTTTTTACTTGAAAGAATAAAATTTACACTTAAAATATTTGTGATTTTGATCATTAATGTGTAATTTACCTTTATGTTAAGTTCAGAATTTAGTTTAAAAAATAAGAAATATTTTAATTTGTTGTAAAGATATATAAAGGATCAGCAAGATTAAATTTATACATAAAAAACTCCTCGTTAAATGGCTTCATTTAATTGCAATTATGATAACATTTTATTTTTAGGAGCGTATACAACACATAACTTAGTGGTGAGGTTGCAGCTTACCTCGTATGATCAGGTTCCCGACGAGTTGGCCAACTACGCTTATGTTGAGTTCACAATGCCAGCTACGACTGTCTCTCACACTACTGTCAGATCTGTGTCCATACAGAACAGCGACAGTGATTCGCCGCCTGAGAAGTATGTCCGTCACCTGTCCAGGCATGAATACAGGTAAAATCCAAATATGTGCCAACAAAAAAATAAGTCTGCTGCATTGTTTAGTCACTCAGGTCAAATTTCCTTCTTATTTTTGTTTGGTAAACAGGAAAAAAGTTATTTAATTAATACTCAACTGAGTATATTGATTAGAATTTTAAAATTGAGCTGCTGGATTTTTCACATATTTTGTTTTGTAAATTTTATAAATTGTTACCGAAGTTTTTGGTGCCAAAAATGGTTTGAATTTCCCGCGTTACGGCGACTGGTGGGGTCAGATCAGAAGATCTAAGAGATAAAACTTAATCCGTACCAGCTGCCGTTTTTCTCGGTCACTTCTTCATTGGCAGTCGCTCTGGAAACACCATCGGCAACTGAGGGCCCTCAAGGTAACCAAACGATGTAAGCTGGCATAAAGACGGTAAGCTATTTTTTGCACAATCAGCATAACTTACCAATCCATTAAGATACAGTCCACTGCATAAAATTAGAATGTTGCCCATAATTTTGAATGCTGCCATATTAAAACTCATGAGAGTTATTTGCCTTAATCAGAAAAGTTGCCTAAACCTTTTGGTCCTCCGGGCCGGATTAAATAGTTTTTTTTTCTATATTAGCGATGTTTTGCCGTACGTAAAAGAGAAAAATTGCCTGGTAGGTTATGAGAGGTTGTATAAATATCGTATATTTCCTGGCTAATATTGTATTTCTGGCTAATATTCCTGACTAATGTAACTTACGTCGTTTATTGCTTTGTTGCGTATTTGGGAGCGCCAGAGTAATAAAAATTATTTTGTTTGTAAAAATTATATATTTCCGCGCTAATATTCGTATTACGCCTATTAACCACGTTTTTCAAAAATATATCTTAACTAATAGATGTAATGTTTTCGTTACGTATTTGGAGAAGTCAAGCAGTTTCCAGATGAGTTTCCAGGAATATTCAGGAAAGAACAAATAGTGACTTGCTGGAACATGGATGACTTCATTGATACTTACCTTAATCCTTGCTTGTTTGCTGCTGAACTTTGAAATTGTTTTGAATAAAAGACCTGCTTTGCTGAACATTGAATTGTTTTGAATACAAGACATGCTTTGTTGAAGTTTGAATTTAATTTGAATAAAATTGAGTTTTGCCTTCAGCAATTAAAATTTAATTTTGAATAAAATTGGGTTTTACCTTCAGCAATTAAGTTTTAATTAAAATAAAATTAGGTTTTGCCTTCAGCAATTAATATTTAATTTGAATTTAATTTGTTTTTCTGCCAACAACTTTGAAGATGGCGCCGATTAAGGGTACTAAGGGACTTAAAGCTATAAATGACAGGAAGGAAAGGATGTTTATTCGAATTCAAACCACATATGATATGGTTAAGGGTCTCCCTGATAGAAAGGAAATTTTTATGGTTAGGGATTCAGAAATTAAAAGACAACTGGATGAATTTGAAGCAGTGTTGAACAAGATTTCCGTACTAAATGAACCATTAGATGAAGAACATAGAATAGAAGTAAACGCACCATCTCTAGCGGCGGAGGAACTTTATGAAATAAAAGTTGCGCACGAGAGAGAAACCTTTTATATTTTTTATTTTCATATAAAATATAAAAGGTTGCTGCCCAATTATATTGGGTTACAATATACACAGCATACTCTTTAATCAGTAGGACAATAGATAAACTTATATATAAATATACAGAAGTGGTTAGTTTATATGAGTATAATAAATATATACATAATTTTTTTTTCCTTTCATTGTTCATGCTTTTTTTTTTCATAACATTTAATTTCCATTCCTCTCATTTCTCTCTGTTTATCCCTCTTTATACACCTCTCCTATACACAATATTAAGATGCTTAAAATTATAATAGAACAATAACAAAAAACAAAAGTGTATTTTATACATCTAGAATCAAATAAAATTTAATATGAAACAAATATAATGGACATTTTTTATTAAATAAATACATAAATTAAAACTCTCAGCCTAGCCATGCACGTGGTGGTTAATGATTTCCCATCATTAAAATCAAACTTCCAGGGAGTCGAGGACTATATTTTCAGCCAACCTCGCTAGGTTCTTAATGTCGACACCTAGTTCCTCGAAGAAGCTCCTTGTTCTTTTTTGAATTGTTCCGCGAGACCCAAACCAGAGGCCTCTCTCTCCGAAGGTTTCACGAAATTTCTCTGTTAGGTTAAACAACTTGGGAAAGAAGGAAAAGGAAAACTTACAGTAGGATTAGGTCCTCAAAAAGTAGAAAAAGGAAGAGGAAGATGCTCCTGGATTCAGATTCAGGCCGACCTAAGAAAACAAAAATTAAAAGGCCGAAGATTAGGTATGGACTTTCTGAGTACGAAGGGGAACCACTAAAACGGACAAAAAGGAAGAAGATGAGTTACCTTTAGGTTGTCGGTTCCGATACTGAAGAGGAGGTCATCACCGGAAGCAGGAAGCTGATAAGTGAAGATGAAGAAGAATTTGTACCTGAAAAAGAAGAAGTGGGGGAATATGAGGAAAATAAACCTGAGGAAGTTGAGCCTGTAGAAGAAGTCCAAGAAGTTGAAGGAGCTTTATCAATTTGTTAAGGGCCGGTGTGAAACCATTTCTAACTATTTAAGTTGGACGAGTATAAAGTGGACCTTTACTCCTCCAGCATCTCCTCATTTCGGTGGTATTTAGGAGGCAGCTATTAAATCTGCCAAGAGACACCTTCTTGCCGTTCTCCAGGATCATGCGTTGACAATGAGGAATTTTATACTCTTCTTGTACGAGTTGAAGCCGTTCTCAATTCTCGTCCTATCTGCAACATTAGCTGTCAGCCATCAGATAACCTGGATTACCTCACCCCAGGACACTTTATTATAGATCAATCCCTCCTAGCCAGAACAGAACGCCAGAAAAAGACGCACCTTTGTTTCCTTTGACAAGCCGTTGGGAGATGATTTCCAAGACTCTTCGTAATTTTTGGATAAGAGATGTTAATACCTCCATAATCTGGTGCCTCACAAGTGGTATACTGACAGGGAAAATTTAAAGAAGGAACCCTTGTAATTCTGCATGAAAAAGATGTTCCATGCAGCAGTGGCGGCTAGCCAGGATAATAGAGACACTTCCATGACCTGACAGTATAGTTATGGTTGTAAAATTGAGGACTGCTATAGCCACTTTGGTGCGACCGGTGCAGAAGTTATTGTCTCTCCCTTCTGAAGAAACCTTTTATTGATATGAATACTTTTTTGTTTAAATTTCATGAGGAGTAATTTTAATTTAAATTAATTGTAATTTATTAGCCTAATTTCTCTCTTTCTTCATTGTAAGCCAAGCAATTTTCCTCTCGTTAGTGCCTTGCCTAGTAATCACCAATCTCTGAGTTTGTTTTTTTCCTTTCTTTTTGTTTGTGAAATGAGATATTTCACGGTGGGGGATATGTTTGTGCCAAAAATGGTTTGAATTTCCCGTGTCAAGGTGAGTGGTGGGGTCAGATAAGAAGATCCAAGAGATAACACTTAACCCATACCACCTGCCGTTTTTCTCGGTCACTACTTCATTCTCATTCACTCTGGAAACATCATCGGCACCTGAGGACCCTCAAGGTAACCAAATGGTGTAAGTTGGCATAAAGATGGTATGCTATTTTTTGCACAATCGCTAACCTACCAAACCATTAAGATACAGTCCTCTGCATAAAATTAGAATGCTGTCCATAATTTAGAATGTTGCCTTGTTGAAAGGCATGAAAGTTATTTGCCTTAATTAGAAAAGTTGCCTAAACAGAAGTGAATTTATCAAAATGGAGAAGATAGGAAAAAAAAGTTAAGACCCCCAGAAACTTCTCAACCTTATCTCTAATTTTCTCTAACGCATAACCAATAACCCCAACGCATTTCTAATTCCCTTTTTTAAACATCTAACAGAATTCAGAAATGCGAGGTTTCGCAAAACCATAAAATTGGTAAAATCTAAAGAACGGCAGGGGTGGAGAAAAATGTCCATACCTCCAAAAGGCACGTCTCGAGGATGAACTCTATTCCCAATCAATAGGGTCTGTAGATGTGCATAGAATTTAAAAAACGAGAAAATAATGTAAAATGGAGGGAGGGAGGAAGTTGACACCAAGTTACGCCAAATCAATTCTCATGCAAAATTTTAACTTAGTAACTTTATTAGGAGGGTCTGCAAAGCTGTGCAAAATGTGTAGAAAACAACTGTTAATACCGAATTTCAGTTCATTTCATTCAAAAATCAATTCATCCTTCCAAAATGAAATTTGAATTCACTTTTTTTCACAAATTTGATATCCTGAATACGACCTCCTTTCACCTTAGATCCTTCGAAACATTCATCCAAATCAGTCATATTCCTTACATATACCTAAAACTGCATGGTACATACCAACCACTTTCCTCTATTATGGAAATATTCCACTATTATCCTTTTCCCAAATCCAAGCAAATTTCTCAACAGTTTAACATCCTTGGATCAATTAGCCTACTCCCGATTCTCAGCAGCCCTAGGAAACTAGCAGTACTGTTCGGGTGCATTTCTGGACATAATAATAATAATAATCTTTTATTCATCCTGGGACGAATTCCTTTAGAATAATTAACAAGGATAGCAATGTGGGCTTTTGAGCCTCAGATATACATAAATGTATTTACAAAGTTAACTAATAGATATAATTTTAAAAAAATATATTCTAAATTAAATCGATTAAGAAGAAACAAATAATAAATAAAAGAACAATGATATGAAAATAATTGGGTATAAGCTAATAACATATATCCATATTTACAGAAGTTTCTATTTACAATTTTAGAGGGACTGGATGGAAAGGGAGTGGTTGAATAGGCGGGATTTAAAAGTAGAGAGAGTATTGAAGCGACGGATGTCGGGAGGGCTGGAGTTCCATAGGAATGAGGATCGAATAATAAAAGATTTATCGAAAGCAGCGGTTCGGTGGATCATTATATATAAATCTGAAGACCGGGAACGGGTATTTCGGGAGCGGGTAGAGGATTTAATTAGGATTAACAGTAGGTTAATAAAAATGTACATGATAATATTTTTTACTTTCCCTGACGTATATATGTAATATAAAGTAAGAGTAAGTATTGCGATCGAGAAAAATTTTGAATTTGAGTTTTCAACGGAAATACACGTTTTGGGGTACCCTGAATCCAAATAACCATGTCAAGAAAAATGGTGTGTGTGTGTGTGTGTGTGTGTGTGTGTGTGTATGTATGTTAGCGATCTAGCTCAAAAACTAAAAGTCGTACGAAACTGATATTACGTATTTAAGATAGGTATATGCCTTAGATGTGACAGCAACTTATTCCTTAAAATCGGCAAACCGGAAGTGCCACTTCATATCAACGCTGAAACACATTTTTACAATTTTCTCAAAAACGGCTCTTACGATTTTGATTAAACTCAGTTTAACATTGTATAATTAAGTGGTCTTTAATATCATTTAGGTTTTTTCCCCATTGATGTCACTTTACAGTGCTTAACTGCCTACTGTTCATATACATCTTCCTCTAAAGTATCTTTAATTTTTTTTATTAATTAACCATTCACATCGTAAACTGATGTAAAAATTTGATAAATATAATAATGAAGATATTGATTGGTAACTAAGAAATAAGGGTTGGAAGTTCTACAGAAACAGTTGGCCTTTGTGGATCCTCTACCTTTATAGATACCTCAAACCCATCTGTACAGGGCTTTCATACTGTTAATTTAACTTTTATATATCACTTATCCATAACTTTCTAAAAAGGTTTTCACACGAAATGTTTAAAATGTACTAATATATACCTAAAAATATATACACAATATTTATTAACGTTAAGTAGTCAAATCAACAATATATAAACAATCATTAGTATTTTTTGGTACTATTCACAGTGATAAAAGGAAATAAAAAGTGATGCAAACTAATAAATTTAACAAATTCGATGAGCAGGAAAAACGTGATAATTAATTTTTTTAAATAATGAAGTTATACCATCGTTTTAACTTTGAATTCCCTATATATCAAAATAACTATCTACTCTAAAGTAGGTAAGTGAAAGCTGTGTGATGGGGGCACCAAATCAGATTTTTTATTTATTTATTGGAGAACCTGAATAACTAAAAACTGTATGATTTTAATTGTATCTATTATAAATACCATAAGTTGTAAAATATTTTAATTTTAAAAATTAAATTAAATATATATATATATATATACAAAAACACACATTTATACATTCAATTCACAAGAAATTAACTCAGAAAACAAATTTCCAGAGTTGAAATAGAGCACACTCATGGAGAAGGGCCTGGAGACTACATAGCAGCTACAGTTACAAAACCAGCACCAATAACGGAAGAACCCCGCCCACAACCACAACCGGCGGCCCCACCTCCAGCATCTGACAGTGATTCCGACAGTGGATAAGGAATCAATAATTTATTGAAGCATTTTCTATCAACTTCCTTTGTACAGTCGTATTTTTGTATTATAATATTATTGATGACTACTTATTAAGTCAGTTTTCATGTGGCTAGACAATAGATTTATCCAATATAATTTACTAGATATAAGCATAAAAGTTTAAAGTATAAATACATTAATTTACTATTAGATTAAGTATGACTATTCATAAATTAAATATTGGTATCTGTTAAGTGAAGATAAGTCATTTTGTATAATTTTAAGGACTATGAAACAGCATACAATCGCAGCAAGCAATACTGAAATATTAATTAGACTATGGAATTTTATCTACTCTATCATAAAAAAAAAAAATAATTGAACAAAGTCGTTGCAACAAAATGGCCTCATAAAGAATTTAAAAATTTATATGGATGTTACTAAAATAATTTTAAACTATGGTAACACTTAAGCTTGGATAAGATATGGAAATTTCTGTTGGCTGCTAGAGATGACATTAAAGAAGAGATACTAGTCCATCTCTTAATAAAATGAAAAAGCATTCTTCAACGGTTATAGCCTGAGATATTATATAAATATTTAGATAGCTTAAGAATGTTTTTTTTTTTCTTTTATCTACAATTTATTGGTATACTGGGAAGTCATTTAAGATATTTTCTTCGAAGAACTTTTAAAGAGTTGATTTATAGTAAGAGACTGGGTTTTTGTTCAATAAAATACTCAAAGTACAAGTTGAATAAAAATCCATTACACTTAAATAATAATGACTAAGTAACATAATAAAATAATAATGACCATCCCTAATAAATTTTTAAAGTTCTACATGTACATTAATTACCAACTGTTTGTTCAAAGCTTAAAAATACATTCTTAGTTCATAATTGACTGATATCTTTTGTTTGTACATTATTAAATAATATAATAATTCAAACTTAACTAATTCAGAAAATATAGATCTGCCTCTTTGACTATTAAATAAGGTCTTATATAAATAACTTTTCCCACATGTGGTACAATAAAGGCAGTAGAATAGTTTATCAGTAATTGATGTCATAGATAAAGTCTGCTTTGTATTGTGTAAATTATAAACAAGTTGTAATATGTAATGTATCGTTTATTACTAATTTTCCTCAGCTCTGATAAATAAACTACATTGAACGCACATTAAAATACAAATATTCTGTCAATAAATGTCATAAATATTTTATAAAGTTAAATATTTTTATGAGTCGTAAATAAAATTTCAACTTTAATTTGAGCATGAAAATGTTGAAGAAAAGCTGGATTGGTCAAACGAAAAGTGTATATTAATTATTTATATATTAAATAATATATTCTTGTAACTTTATTGAGTAAATAAAAGAAAAATAAGAACTGACATAGCCCTAAACAGATGGACAATACATGTACGTTTTCCTTTTAGAGAAATAATAGTCAGTACTGAACCTTGGATTAGAACAGTCGACTTTATTATAGTATATATTACTTATTAAATCAAGTTTACACAATCTGGATTGACCAAGTATATTTCTAGCATTAAAACCAAAGGTATAATGAAAAGAGAAGATTGCCAAGTTCTCCAGGGTTCCGTATAATTGTTTGCATGAAAGAGCAACCCCTTGCATAGAATAGCTTTATAAATGTGTTAATTTAAACAAGAAAATGCTGGTTTTAGGGTTCACAATGTTAGTTTTAATTACTGACTTTTGTATTATAAAATATGGGATCTAAGATAGTTGATAGAGTTAATTGTGTTTATAATTAAACAAATCCTAAGCTTATGTAAGTAAAACTATAAAAATAAGTTTGATATTGTTTTAATTTTTTACAATGTAAAAGTTTTTATGATTGGTTGCCGCATCTCACTAGCAATAGGCGTACCATTTGCATTTCGTATGATATTTAATATGGGCAAGAGCCGTAATATAAAATTTTGTGCGCGCTTGACTGTCTTTGTATATAAGCATTTTTTTCTAACTTGCTAAACGAGTGCCTCTTCCAATCGCTTCCTTATTATATTTAACCCGGTTGAACTGTTCTATCTCGACACTCCAATAAAAAAATACAGGACGATCCTTTTAGCAGAAACTGTAATAGACTAGTCTGGAGGATTGTAAGCTTCTTTATAGTCTTCTTTCACAGCAATAATTTTTTCAAAGATTCATTTAAAATTTTTAAGGACTCATTTCTCCACTAAAATGATCCACATCAAATAAATGTTCTATTAATCAGGCTGTATTAAAGGTTTTTTTGACTAAAATAATATTGTTCAATCATTAATACTACAAGGGATATTTCAACTATTAAGATTGTAAGACCTTCATGCATGTTGGCTTAAAAGCAATAACTGAGCATTACTCAGTCCTTTCCAAAAAACTTTGTTATCAACATTTAATATTCATATTTAGTTTACATATTAATTTTAAATTTTGATATAGAAATAACTAACAAGGAGCTACAGATAATACTTAATAGTGGTTATTAAGGTCCTCAAGTTGAGCAAGACCCCAAATGTGGACAATAAATGGAAAATTGTATTCGCTTGCCCTAAATGAAATAAATTAAAATTGTTTCTGTAAATAATGAAATAAAATGTTTAATTAATAACTATTCCTGACTTTAGTTTTCAGAAATGCTTCTTGAATTATCAACCATCTAGAAAATTATATTATACTTTAGAATTATGAATATATCGTTTATACAATTATATATATATATTTTATTTTTTTGGTTGGCTCTACAGACCTTGTAGATCTTTGGCCACCTTCTTCACCTCTGCCTATCTTGGGCTACTGCTTTCCAGTTTGCGGCATGAAGCTCAGCCATATCTTTTTTTATACTATCTATCCATCTGGTTTTTGGCCTCCCACATGGTCTCTTGTCTACTACTCTGGCATTCATTGTCATGTAAAGGCCTGATGGATTGCCACGAGCTACATGCCCAGCCCATCTTAACCTCATTGCCTTCATGTCATGAGATATTGACTGACCCGTTTCTTTCAGCAGTTCTTTATTTTCCTTCTCCTCCATGTGTCAAGGTTCCGGTCTCATAGAGGTCCTGTTATCCTACATAGAACTTTTCTTTCAAATTACAATAATATATATACATATAATTAATAGTCAATGGATGCCACTAATACAGCCTGTTTCATAAACACCAAAATAAAATTCATAATTTCATGTTAATAAAGAAATTTTTTAGATCAGATAAATATATTGGACTCATTAAGTTAAGATTTTTTTTTTAAATAAGTAAGATAATTAATTTGAGAAAATGAAGCAATTCTACAATTACAATTCTTACAAACCACATGTGTATAAGATCTGTTATAATTTTTTTTTTTATTATTCTTACAATGATTGCAGGCATTATACCTACAATCATGCATCTCACTAAGAGCCCATTATGTTGTTTCATAAATGTATCATCAAGATCTGATAAAATAATGAATGTAATAAATGTTTTATGGACAATTTTTGGGTAATCTTCTTTTTCTTCCTTCTGACCCACTGATCTTGACCTAAGAATCTGTATTTTAGATGATATTAAAGTACAATTTTTCTCTGAAAAGATGCCATAAAGCTAAAAGTTACCTCCTTTATGCAAAAAAAGAGGTTTTTTAAATGTTTAAATAATAAATAGATTTGTAAGTGTAGAATTAAGTTTGTAAACCACAAAAGTATTACAAGGTTGTATTCCCTTCAAATACACATTGACCTTAACCGACTGTACATATCTAGGATAAATCAAGAAGTTGTTATTATTTTAGGTTTACCTGCATTAGGTTAAATTTTAGTTATCTGTATATTAGTTATTTTCTTCAAATTTGTACATTTGTTTGTTGTTGATGATGATATCAAAGACTATATTTGTTATTATATAAATACCAATGTAGAAGACCTTATTTTATATATAGTGAGAAATTATTTTCCTAGAATGTAAGTGTATCAAAGAAAGTGAACATGTAAATATGTGGAATGGAGTCATGATTATATTATGAAAAATCAATGGTATTACAATCTTTTGTATATATATATCACAATACATATAACCAACACAGGATGTGCAGACAGCAGATAAATTTTGCAATAAACTATATAGTTTCAAATACTTTCCTAGATGCCTACAAATGTTACATTTTGTGCTAATGGGTCTCTAATTTAAGGATATTATAGTTATTAGCAAACAGAAAAGAATATATATATATATATAAATATGAATGAATGTATGTTAGTTATTAAGTTATAATCTTAGCTGTGTATGTTAATTTAAGAAATACAAAAAAAAAAAAAAGGAAAAGGAAAGAATGAAGAAGAAGAAGAAAATAAAGATGGAAGTGAGAAAATTATATCTTTTATTTGAAGCAAAAATATATCACTCAAAATATATTTCCATTACAACCTGGCAAATGAGTATTATATATTTTATGGCTAGAAAAATGTATGAAATTGTAATTAATAAAAGCAAAATTTATTGTGAATATAGACATATTTATTTATTTTACTTCCACAACAGGCATGCTCCACTTCATTGTAACATATGCCACAAGGAAGGGCTCCACATACTGAGGAAGGTGGAAAATAAATAAATATAAGTAGTGAAGGCAGGGGTGCCCATCCCCCTCCCCTCAAGATTGATAGCGCAAGAATCCCTCCCTCAGGATATTCACCTTTTCTTAAAAATAGAGCAAGCTAAGGTAGAATTAGAAAAATTATATTTCATACACAATTACACTTGCTGCGGTCTGTTTTCCCATGTTTTTCTCTTGTTCCTTAGTATGAAACTTTTCATTCCGAAAACCCTGCCAAAATGTGCCCCCCTCGAAAATTCAAAAAACCCGCCAAAATATGCCTCCCTGAAAAAAGTTATTAAATACTGACTTATGAAAGTTTTTCTATTTTATTAAACATGTCAAAACCAATATTTGACATAATTATAATATTATTGAGACAGTGACTACCAATTTCTTTTTCACTGACAGGTTTTGATATATTTTTTGTATTTGATATTATAAGCAAATTAAAAAAAACGTTTATTATTATAATGGAGCTACGGTGATTAAAGAACCCGGTCCCCCTCCACTAAAGCCAACCAATCTCCACGGTCTTGTGCTACTCCCTCCATCTTCGAACGCCCAGCCGCCTCAGATCGTCCTCCATTTCTTCCAGCCATCTGATCCGAGGGATTCCTCTACTTCTTTTGCCATCCGGCTCTCATGCAGCATCTTCTTTGGCATTCTTAGGTCTGGCATTCTTCTACATTACCTAACCATCTGATTCATGCTGATGCTCTTACCGCTGATTCCTGGTCTGTTTATCTGAGAAATCTTCTTGATATTTTTCTACATTTTAGTTTCATACAGTCTTTTATTTTGTTTTCAAATGGTATTTGCATTGTTTCTTTTTACACTATAGTCTTCAGCGATTTAACAAGTCCTTCATTGAATCATTTTCTACCTGGCATTGTTTCTTTCTTTAATCACTCTTCCGAAGTCATTATCAAACCAGTCATTTCAGTTTCTTTTTGGTGTGGTACCTATAATGTCCTCTGTCACTGCTCCTAAAACATCTTTAGGGTGTGTCCACTTTCCTTATATTTTCATATTAATAGACACTTGTTCTCTTAGCCTTTCTGTTAATATTCTTTGAAATTGTTGAGCTACAGGTTCCTCTTTTAGTTTTTCAACATTGTGAATGGTTATGCTTCTTACGTTCCCTGTTTCTTTTAAGCTTTTGTTTTTATAAAAATCGATATCAGATAATGGTCTGATTCACAGTTAGCTCCCCTATAACTGCGGAAATCAAAAATATCATTGGCGTGTATGCCATCAATGAAAACATGGACGATTTGATTTTTGGTTAAAATTTGAGAGAAAACATGCTTCTTTCGGTGTATTCTCGCTTGTTTCCTCACGTTTGCTGTGCTTGTCTATTACTATTAACTGGGACAGAAAAGATAAGAATTTCTTTTCTGTTCCTATCCTACATTTTTTAACGTTCTATAGAATGCATTATTTTCCTCTTCATTGTCTTTATCTTCTATAGGTGCATGGTTGCTAACAAGGGAAATGTTGAAAAACTTTTCTTTCAATCTTAATACACATACATCTTTTTTCGTTTATAGTTAAATATTTGAAAAAAAGAGTTTTTTTGCAGAAAAGCCTTTGCCCACAATGTTCTGGCTATTTCCGCTATTAATAATAGTGAAGTGCCTCATGAGTAGTGTGTCTCTCCATCGGATTTCTTGTAATGCCAATATATATATATATATATATATATATATATATATAAGGATTTAGGAAGAGAAATATAAAACATTATATATATATATATATATATATATATAATGTTTTATATTTCTCTTCCTAAATCCTTTCCAGCTTCAGGTTGGAACAAGCTCCTGACATTCCAGGTCGCTAAATTTATTTTTCAGTGTCATTGATGAATCATTGATAGCCGTTTGACAGCAAAAAAAATTTCCCATGTCCAAAATTAGATATAAAAATATTGTCAAAGAGAAATCATGTCCATGGAATTTTTAATGAAATTATGAAATGAAATGAAAAAATAATTTTCTTCTGGGACTTCAATCCCCTAAGAATAATAACAGAGTTACAAATTTATGAGTTTTAGTCTGTAAATTATATGATACTAAATTATTCAAAATAATTATTACAGGAACTCCAGACGTAGAACTAGGAGTAAATGACCTCGTAAGGCAGGGGAAAGAAGTAGTAGGTCGCCACGATATTATACCAGTTGTAACTGAAGAATGGATAAGACTGGAATCAGTAGAATTTCACAGTTGTGTTCAGCAGGATGAATATGAGAAAACAAGAACGATAAGGTAAGGCATGAGCTCATATGGTAATATAGCTATTTTCAGTTCAAATTCCTCATCAACTTAACAAGTGACTCTTCCAGGTTTAAACCACCAGATGCTTGTTACATTGAGTTAATGAGATTCAGAATAAGGCCACCAAGAAATAGGGAACTTCCTCTCCAGCTCAAAGTTACATTTTGTATAACAGGAAATAAGGTTTGTTTATTCAATATTACGGATTGTACAATGGACATCATATTTGAGGTTCAACACCATTACGACCAGAATTTTTTTCTTGAAATAAACATATTTCATTTCGTAAAACTTAGTTAGTTTTGAAGTTATTAAAAATATATTCAGTTAAGACTTATATTACATAATTACATATTTTATTTAAAGCTTTAGAAATGGGTAAGAACACAACTGATCAATTATAAGTATGAAAAATATTTTCAAGAATTTCAATCGATATTTTTATTGGGTTAGCCGAAGCACAGTGGGACCGATGACCGTTCTAGGACAAAATTCATAATTTAGGACAAATTACCATAATTTTCAACTGGAAATCATGTATTTGTCACAAATAAATATAAATAAGACTTTTATGGTTTAAATTTATTAATTTATGGTAAAAATACAAAAAAGAAAATTCTATTTTTTCATATTTTAGGCAATAAAACTTCCAATTTTCTTCATATTTTTTTATTTATGTTTGTTGTCTAAAAAACAAATTCTAGATTTATTTACGTACTGAGAAAAAAATGACTATATATGATGAACATAATTTTCGATTGAAATCATTTTTTATTCGTCACAAATAAATAAAAAAGATATTTTTATGGTTAGATAGATAGATATTTTATTTGTTTTTGGGGAGTTCCCCATACAAATAGAGCCTAGCTTGGCTATTGTGGAATAATATGGTTTTACAAGTTACATCCATATCATTTAAATATAAATTAAATTTACAATGTTTTATGTTTAGAATGGGTTTTAAAAAACATGAAAAACAATAAAAATTAAAAACATGAAACGATAATAATAATGTCTGCTTAATTTAATGTCTGCCAGTGTTTCAACTGCCTCCCGCAGTGCCACATCCTACGCCCTAAAGACGACCTGCAAAGTGGGTCGAAACGTCGGCAAAAATTAAAATAATTAATATATTTTAATTTTTTATTTAATTTACCGCACCCTCGACTTACTCCTTCTCAGATAATAATAATAATAGCATAATCATAGTTAATAATAGTTAATAGCATAATAATAGTTATATGAACGTGTTACTATGATAGAAACAATAAAAAATAAAAATATTTATGTATATAAACAAAATATTACTTTTAAGATTAACTAAAAACAAACACTTAATATAACATGGTCTATGATCAACAATTTTGTGTATGCACTGTGTACTCCCATCATATAATAGTAAACTTTTCAATATGGTTTCGATGTTAAGGTTATCAGAAAATAGTAAGATGAAGTTTTGGAGGAATTTTTGTCTATAGTCATTGTATGCTGGGCAGTGAAGAAGAATGTGATGTAACCTATTGTAGATAAATTGACTGCATGATATACAAGTTTCTTGAAACTCAATCGAAAAAGTTGTGTTTTTTGCATAGATTCTGATATATTCTGGGTTTGCAACTCTTAATTGACTAACACATCTCAATTTATTTATATGGACTTTGAATGTTAGGTACGTTTCGCTATCGGGAGCATAGTTACTGTATAGCATTCTGTATAAATGGTAGTTAGTTGAGTTTAAAGTTCTATGTATGTCGGCTGAGAAACAATGGTTGTGTGCTTTTTCCAGGATATCGTATTTGTATCGAAGAAGTCCGTTTGTAGGGTGAACAGAAAGCTCTTCTGCAAAGGCATTAAGCTCGGCTATTGCTCTAAATTGAGACACCCAATTGAAGTCTATGTCAGGCTTATCCTTGTCTGTAGGCGAACTATGTAGTTTGGGGTATTTCTGGGCCAACCAAACAGTTAAACTTAAAAAATTTAAGTTGGACCGTTTCGAATGCCTTAAGATAATTGGGGCTCCATACTTCAGAAGCATAAAGCAATATTGATGAAACTATGGAGTCAAATAACACAAATTAATTTAATTGATTTCCTCATCCTCAGTATCGACATCCGTAGGAATGATACTCTCTGAACAAAGTCCCTCATAATCACTTCCTAACTGCAATCAAAATTTCTAGTTCGTTAGATTTTTTCTTTTCTTGTCTGCACACTCTGAAAATGTTTACACTCAAAGATCCATAACCATACAAAGTGCTCCCTCAAAACTTAACGCAACTTGCGCCAGGCAGACCTCTTCTAGGCACCCCTACTATATTATATCCTTAACATTTCACTCATTAGATTTCGAAGCAACCAAAAAAACATTATTCGGTCTCTCTGATCCCTCGAAACCTCGAGAGGAATGGTAATTGTTATCAGGGCTACAAACGTTCTTCAGCTATGACATATTTCGTCTAAAAATTTGATTTTTCAAAAGCCCATTTATTTATTTTATGTAAATAGGGCAACATTGTCTTTCAAACCTCTATAAATTTTATTATATGATTCATAATGTTTTAATAGGATTAAAAAAAATTAAGTCCATAACTTTAGTTTATATTTTCTAAAATAATTATAAAACACTGTGCGCAACGCTGCACAGAATTTGACCTACATTACTTTAAATAATATAAAAAATGCTACAAAAGGAAAAAAAAAATGTAGCGGTGGAATATCAGGAAGAATATTACACAGACCATATGAGTGTTATTTATGTATTTCAAAGTATTGATTTAAGCTATTTTTACATGCAATTTTATCCAACATCAAACTGGTCGAACCTAAATTAATCCAGTGAAAAAGAAAGATAATTAACTGTACTATCAAAAGCAGTCTTAAGCAATAAAGCACACAGGCTCTGATTTAATCATTAAATAAAGTAATGCTGGAACTATTCGTCAACTGGTGAAACTAGCCCAAACATCTCTTTTCCGTA